TTTAGGGTTTTAGGGTTTATAGGTTTTAGGGTTTAGGGTTTAGGGTTTAGGGTTTAGGGTTTAGGGTTTTAGGGTTTAGGGTTTAGGGTTTAGGGCTTGGGCTTAGGGCTCAGGGGCATAGCTTATCAGGGCTTTGGGATCAGGGTTTGGGGATTAGCGCTTAGAGTTTGGGGTACCAGGGAGGCACGAAGGGCTTCCTTTCAAGGGTCCTTTTAAGGCTTCCTTTCAGGGGTTTAGGTTTGAGGTTTCTTGAAAGGGTTCCTGGAAAAAAGAGTCTTTCGGGGGGTAACTTTAAGGGGTCTACAAAGAGTCACTATACAGGTTACTAGGGGCTTTTCGGCTTAAAGCGCAGGGTTTAACGACTTGAGGGTCCAGGGCCTATTGTTCAGGATTTAGGGTTTGAGTTTCAGGGCTAGGGTTTTGTGAGTAATGCTTGCGGCGCGATGTTTAGGGTTAATTAATGGCTTCGAGTTCAGACTCATGCTGGCACGTACTCGGATAGTATTGTTGAACATCATGAGAAGTGCACTTGCGGTTGCCCTCGCTCTTCTTGTTGATGTCGTGGAAGTTGCCAAGGTAGTTTTTGCCGGCGATTCTCTGTTCGCTGCTGCTTCTGTCACTTCTGTCTGACCTGGAGCTCTGGTGCTACTCTGGAGGCCTAATGTTTTAATCAATATAGCCTAAACCGTAAAACCAAACCGTAAAACCTCAACCCCTAAACCCATTATCAAGACTATTTGGGTACTTTGACGCTCACAGAGCCCCTCTGAAATCTTGGAAACCATCTCAAACCCCACAAGTCCCCCCCCCAGTAAACCCTGTGTTTGCGATTCGGCGACTTGGCTAAACCCCTAAACCCTAAACCCCTAAACCCTAAACCCTAAACCCTAATTGTTTTTTGCTGTTTTTTGTCAAGGATCCTGAAAACTCGTTGCGCTACACACTGATCCTGGCGAAGATCGCCAAGGCCGTCCTGGACACATGTTTAGGGCGTAGGGGTTAATATAGGGGCCTTAATAATTAGAATAGGGTTCCTTATTATGATAGTATAATATACCCCAAATCCCATTCTAATTAATTAAGGCCCCTACATTAATGTGTACGGTATCGGGTGTGCCAAATCCAATCCTTGCAAACTGTTTGGGGCTGAGCTAGGACCTTAGGGATTTTGCTTGTCGGGTTCCTTGAGATTCTAACGCAGAGTCTAAAATTCTAACAAGTTATCTCGTAGAAGGGGTTCTGCGTGCCCTGCTATCAACATGAGGGTGTATAATGGGTGTTTTAGGCTGCTACGGGGCTGCAGGGTCTGTAATCACGTTGTTGATTACACTTCTTCTGAAAGCAAGGGTACCTTCTTTTGGGTCCTTGCAAGAGAGATCCGACTGCTTGGGAGTCCGATAAACGGGTTCCGCTTTCTCTGAAACCGAATGTTTGCGCATCTATCTGAATCCACCCCTCTGCTGTGGCCTGTGGCATAAACGCGAACGCCCCAACGCCCTAGCCAATGCCAAACGGTCAGTGTACCCCTTAGTATATGCTTTGGTCTTAAAAGCAGTCCCTACAAAGCGCCTTTGGGGCCAAAGTTTAGACTCTTTGGGTACATGGACCCTTAACCCCTAAACCTTTATGGTAGCCGTATAGAGCCCTTAAAGGAACCCCATAAAGGGTACCCTAAACCCTAAACCCTGGGATACTTAAGTTACTTAAGTATCCCTAAACCCTATAAACCCCAAACTCTAAGCTCTAAGCCCTACCCTAAGCCCAAACCCAAAGCCCTAAACCCGAAGCCCTGAACCCTAAACCCTAAGCCCTGAACTCTAAACCAAACCCTTTCAGGGAGACCCTTAGTGGGTGTACATGGAACCCAAAGAAGCTATCCCGCCTGCCCGAACGACGGAAGGGTTTAGGGTTTAGGGTTTAGGGGTTTAAGGTTTAGGGTTTAGGGGTTTAGGGTTTAAGGCTCCTTAAAGGGATCTATAGGGGCTGCTGGCCACCCAGAGACCCCCAAATCCCTTAATCAAGGAATATACCGTATTACAGTATAGTAGGATCCTCAGTATGATTTAAAGGTACACTCCTTAATTAAAGGGCTTTGGAAGATCTGGTACCCTTCGCGCGCCCCTTAATAGGGATTCAGATTATTGGCTAAGGGGTTCAGGAGCAATTTTAGGGGTTTCATGGGGTTTCGGTAGATCTTCAGGGTTGAGGATATACCAGGACCCCTTTGCATCCTGTTTAACGGAGTCTCATATTCCCCTCGGGGCCACAATAAAGAGTTCATGGGGGGGCTTTAGGTACAGTTCACAGTCCAGGAAGTAGAGTTGCAGTAGCTCTATATGGGTTCTCTCGGGCTCCTTCTGTAGGGTTACAGGGTAGCCCCAAACGCCTGCAACATAGGAGACTGATGACTTTATGGCCCCTTAAATGTAGTTAAGATGTAGGGTACAAAGAGATCGGGGTTACGTTTTCGGTTGGGGCCTCATTGTGCTGGTTCATGGTGTGCACGAGGTTAGGCTTGACTAAGGTGTCAGGATTTCCCGGTCACGGGGTGTGGGTTAACCTCGGTCCTGGATTGCGGTATTTTTTCGTTGTGTTGAGCCCCACTAGGTAGGTTCTGGTGTTTATGGCCTGGGGTTTCCCTGGAAGTCTGATGTCGACGTGTCGGTGTTCAGCAGGTAGCCTTTGGCCAAACCCTTATGCCCGCCAACCCCCGAACCCTAAAGCACCAAAAGCCCCAAAAGCAATCCCAAGCCGCAGTTCAAATGATCGGTTTGGCAGAGGGTTTCTGTAGTTGAGGGTTTAGGGTTAGTTTCAGGTACTCTGAATTGAACATATGCCCTGAATCCCGAGCTCTCACATCTAAACTGTACACCTTACATTGTATCGCCTAAGGCTGGATGGGAGCGACGGGAGATGGGCCACGAGGACAGCAGCACGGGGAACCGTGCAGATGAATCCCTGCAACGCCTATATCCCAAAACGGGATTCGGCTTACCCTAAACCCTGAACCTTAAACCTTTGCACTTAAAAAAAACCTTAAACCCTAAACCCTAAACCTTAAACCCTAAACCCTAAACCCTAAATCTTGAACCCCAAACCCTAAACCTGTTTGTTTAGGTTCTCGGCGTGTTCCTTGAGCTTAAGGGCTTCCGAAGATTCGGGATCCCTGTACAGACTGTAATATACGGGCCTAAATAATTAGAACAGGGGGTTTAGGGTTTAGGGTTTAGGGTTTAGGGTTTAGGGTTTTGGTTTAGGGTTTAGGGTTTAGCGGGGGTTCCTTTAAAGGGTTCCTTACTTAAAGCGTTCTATCAGGGCTGCTATAAGAGTTTAGGATGTAGGGGCCTTAATAACCAGAATAGGGTTTTGGGGCCCATTGTACTATAGTTGAAATAAGGACCCCCCCCCAAAAAAAATGGTATAGGTAATTATTGAGGCCCCTATAGGATATTAGAAGCCTCATTGCAGGCACCTCTGAATAGTAGGGTCCATCTCGCAATAGCTAAGAAAAAGCCCGAACCCATCTAAAAGCAGTCTAGGACCCTCGTGAAACAGAACATTGCCTCAGAATAGTGAGGTAGACCACAAGCACTAAGACATGTCACATTTTTCCGTGGCTGAGGACCTTACATACTTTTTGAGAGGGCTGTGTGGGACAACCTTTTACCTCCTGAACTTTCAACCCACAACCCCCAAGCCCATGACCCCTAAACCTTAAACCCAATACTTAAACCGCTACATACGCAAACCCCTAAGGGTAAAGTTTTCTCTTCGGTTTATTCGAATTCAATTATTCACGAATCCTACATACTACCTTATACGTTCTGTACATCAGTGCTAGACTTGATTCCTAGGATATGCAACCATGTCCTGACTGGTGGAATCAGCGGCGCATTTTGCAAGCCGGGCCGGTGAGGTGAGTTGTCAACCCTGGCACAGCTCGTGAGGGCTGGGGGAATTTGGGGGAGGGGTAACTGGCCTTCCGCCATATTCTGGCAAAGAAACTAGCCCTAAGGGTCCATACAGTAGATACTTTGGCCCCAAAGTACCTATATAGTGACTCGTTTAGGGCCAAAGTATATACTATCTGGGTACATGGACCCTTAGGCTAGTGGCAAAACCCGAACAGTAAGAAGAAGAAGAAGAAAGGCATCATCTGGTTCCTCCCCAAGCTAAGATCCGTTTGCTGTTGGCTAGCCCAGCAGAGCTATACCTAATGCTGAGTTCACCAAATGGTGCTGCACCCATCTACCAACTGCTTAGTAACAGGGTCTGTAGGGCATAAGGAGTTTGATAGCAATAGGATGTAATTGATTCGTACAGCGGTTCTGCAAGGGGTGTTCCGAATTGTGCTTAAGGGTTTCGTACGCCATCTAGACGTGCCCGCGTCTGGCCCTGTTTGAACCGCAAGATCATGGCATTAACTATTGACCCAGACAAATTCAAAAATAAACAGCCGAGGCAACACTAGCAAAGAGCAAAGCACACCAGAACACAAATATTGAGGCAAATAGTGAGAGACATGTGCTAGGGAGTTTAGGTAGCGAAATACTATACGGTAATGGTTTGGGTTCCTAATGCACTATGATTTGGGCACAGAGGCTTTTGCCTATACTGCTCCCGGCCGGTTAAAGCCCGAAGTGCTGTGGAGGATGCCTGGAGAGCGCTCACGTCGGCTAAAGGCCATTTGGCATGCAGACATCAGTAGTTACAGGGGGTTCTCGTTTGAGATTATGTAAAGCTAGGTTAGGGTTTTGGGTTTAGGAGTCAATTTGGGGTTTCCGATTTAAGTTATTAGGGGATACGTTCAGAGTTTTCGGCTTAAGGCTAGAAGCAGCTAGCGGTTAAGGGGCTTCCGTTTGACTTGACAGTCTATATGCGGCTTACTGAGATCACCGAGATCATTTTACATGGGGTCTCGAAGATGGTATCGGCTAGAGTCTGTTAGGGCTCTGTGTTCTAGATCATGCGCAAGCAGCATGCCATTTATCGGGTGCGGGCTGTGGTTCTTGAATTGAGTGTACAATGCTAGTGGAAACGCCGGTACCGTTCGAAGCATCATATTCGCAGGTGTTTCCAATTTCGGCATTAATCGTGCTACTGCTGTGGTCTTGTTCCTGCTTTAGCTTCTGCTTCAGCCAGTGTTTCTGCTGCTGTCGCGTCGTCCTTGGGAGATGCCCTAAACCCTACACCCTAAACCCTAAACGCTTGTTCACAGCGGAACCCCTAATTAGTGGGATCCCTATGAATCCACAGGACCGCTAAATTGACGGACCCAGAAAGGACGTAAGCAGAAACCTCTTACAACGAGATCCCTGCTTAGGCCCTGCTTCATAGGGCTTTGGGTTTAGGGTTTAGGGGTTTAGGGTTTAGGGGTTTAGGGTTTAGGGTCTAGGGGTTTAGGGTTTAGGCTTTAGGGTACTGGGATTTATATTTTTTGCTTCTGAGATTTTTTTTGGGGGCCCAGAAACGTGAGCTCCAAAGCCTCCCTTGCCCCTTTGCTAAGGCCCCAAGGACCATGTAGTCACGGTTTAGGGTTTAGGGTTTAGGGTTTAGGGCTCCCCAAATAGCTGTCTGGTGCTTAGTAGGGAATGGGGGGAATGGATCCCTATGATAGTCCCTTAGGGTTCCTTATAGTAGTCCCTATAACCCATTCCCCCATTCCCTGCTAAGCACCAGACAGATAATCGGCGGTTCTCTAAATTTAGGGTCCCTTTCTGGATCCCTCAAATAGTACGGCACCCCTTATAAAAAAGGACCCCACAAGGGACCCTACCTTTAGGAACTACCAAAGACAAAGGACAAAGTAACTTTGCGGCTATCCTGAAGCTAAGTACCCAATAATGATGTTGTCCAAAAGGACCCCTAGTGATTGGTCATATAAATTGAGCTATGCCAGAAGTGCCATGGGCCTCGCCCGAAAACACAACAAGCCATGGTCGGGGATGTTTTCACATGATTTTCGAGGGCTGTATAAGGTTTTGTTGCGGGTGATGACGAGTTGAGTATTCACCCTCATCTCCTTGAGGTTCATCTTTTAAGACTCGTGTGTCCACACAACAGTCGAGCAATATCTTGAGTTGTTTCGAGCCTTCGGGTATTTGTACTAGGGCCCTGCCATTGTAAAGTCTTATGTCAAAGACCTCAACACTCAACCCTCTCTCAATGAGGCGATGGTCATAACAAGTCGCATCAGAAATCCCTGGTATAATGCACCTTATTCAGGACCTGGTGGAATTTGTCTTGAGCCCTTCCCCGACCTGCAGATCCTTCATGACGCCGCGCTCGCCCATTACACCCATGGACAAATGCCCGACGCCATGGAACCCAAACCAGACTCAGACCCCTTGTAAAGGGTAGTTCTCTAAATTAGGATCCCGTTTTAGGGTCCCTTTTATAAGGGTGCCCTACATATTGGGGGCCTGAAATCGGACCATAATTTAGAGAAGTACCCATATGAACCCTGGATCGATGCAGGCCTTGTTCATGAATTCCATTTCTTGGATTCTTGAAGGGGTCTGAGGAACCTCCAAGAACTACCCCATTAAGGAAAAGCTAAAACGCCAATGCGACACCGAAACTTTATCCCTGCGCCATAAAGCCTGAAGTTCTATACAATAGGCCCAACCCTAAACCTGGAACCCTACACCCTACAGGGGCCCCTTCTAGAACCCGACAGAAATGCGTTGAAACCCTGTCAAAACCTACAAGGCCCAATAAGACCGTACGAAGCGCTGAAAGAGCTTCCAGAACACGGCATTGTGAAGCCTTGTATGTAAGATCGTACAAAACCCTACGCAGGACTTTGCAAAAACCTGGCAAAACCCGTTGACCCCCTATGAACCTCACTGAATAAACCGTATGCAAGATGTTCTAGATCCTTTCACGAACCCGAAAATGCCCCATGAAACCATGTAGAACCCTACGAAACCCTAAGCCCTAAACCTTAAACCCTAAACCCTAAACCCTAACCCCTAACCTCTAAACCCTAAACCTTAAACCCTAAACCCTAACCCCTAACCCCGAAGCCCTAAACCTTAAACCCTAAACCCTAAACGCTAAACTCTAAAGCACAACTCACACCGACACCTTCCCGAACTGCGAGGTTTCTCGGAGAAGTGTGCTGCTGGAGCCTCGGAAGCTGTCGAAAGGTCTCATCTACTTAGTAGCTGAGAGGGTTCAGGGTTCAGGGTTAAGGGTTAAGGGTTTAGGGTTTAGGGGTTTGGGGTTTAGGGGTTTAGGGGTTAGGGGTTTGGGGGTTGGGGGTTTAGGGGTTTCGGGTTTGGGTTGGGGGTTTAGGGCATTTCCCGAACCGCCCAAGCGCCCTTTAATAGAGCCCTTATGGTATTTAGGGCTAAATTGAGGGTGGTTGGTGGGTCTATTTAGTACGTAATTGACTAGGTAACTTTTAACTTTGCCGGGATTGTAAACCCACCACCATTGAAAAGCTTGTTTAGGCTAGGGTGCTGGGCCCCTAAGTCTAAGGACGCAGATTTAAAACTGTTGGGCCCAACGACCATACTACCCCAAAGGGTCCTACGTACTGTTATGGGGGATAATTCCCTAAATCATAATGGTAATTCCTAATATAGAAACCCCACATTCTACTATATAGGTACATTGGACCCTTCGTGTACAAAAGGCCTTGGGGACATGTTGGACTTTCCTGGAAGTTGAAGTTTCCGAGGTTGTTCTCCGTGTATTGGACAGGGTGCTATAGTGCTTTAGAAGGTTTGCGAAGGTGCTGATAGAGGCTTTAGGGTTTGGGTTGGGGGTTTCATTAGGTTTCTGGGTTTGAGGTTTGGGCGCTAAAGGGTCTGGCGTGTAAGTGTAGGCTTTCGGTTCTAGGATGCTGGATTTGTAGGAGTAAGGGTTGAGGCCTTGTGGTTCTCTTTCAGGGCTCATTTACTGTTTGGGGCTTCGGGTTTAGGAGTACCCAGAGAGCCCAGTACCCCTTAATTAAGGAATATACCTTAAATCATAATAATAAGGGCGCTATAATTTAAGGTATATTCCTAATTAAGGTGTATTGGGTTCTCTGGGTAGCATCATTCCGATTTAGTCACTTGGCACCTTGTAAACAACTGGCAACACTTGGTGGACGCCTGCTGAGCCTTGTAAGCCCCAGAGACTCCAAAACCCCTTCATTAAGGAATATACCTTAAATCATATTAGGGATCCTATTATAATTTAGGGTATATTCCTTAATTCAGGGGTTTTGGAGTCTCTGGGAAGCCAGGACTCAAAAGTGGACAAACCTGGCGTGGGAAGCGGGAGATCCTGCGGGAAGTGCTGAAGGTTCCTGCCCTAGGACCTTCCCAGAGAACCCAATACACCTTAAATATAAGGAATATACCTTAAATTATAGGGCCCTTATTACTATGATTTAAGGTATATTCCTTAATCAAGGGGTATTGGGTTCTCTGGGTAGGACTTTATCGGGCATGCCGCTTGTGGTACTTCTTCAAGGAGGCCGTACGCGATCCCCAAAAGGCAGGACGATGCCCATGTTGGGCTCGGGTCAGGGGCAGGAAGGGACTGAACCTGCTGAACGGCTACCCGCAGACCGAGAGACTCCAAAACCCCTTAATTACGGAATATACCTTAAATCATATTAGGGATCCTATTATAATTTAGGGTCCCAGTATATTCCTTAATTAAAGGATTTGGGAGTCTCTGGGGAGGCACGATGTGAAGGCTGCAAGCAGCCAGTCTGCGCTGTACTTTGCCGAGCTCCTCAAGGGTTTAGGGTTTAGGGTTTAGGGGTTCTTCCAGAAGTTCAGAAGCAGGTTGGCCCGGAGGAGAAGAGGGTATCTTGGGAGCTTCAGTGAGCGGCTAAGGCTTCTGAAGTATTTCAGCCTAAACCTAAACCCTAAACCCTAAGCCTCAGCAAGGCAACCGACACCCAAGGGGTCCAGCGTGTGAAGACAGTGGTGCCGGAGCAGATGGGACTGGTTCACTGGTTCACCATATGGGTGGTTGTCAATATTATGGTCCCTTTTGGGGTCCTTATTATAATACGGCACCTATCATTTAGGGTACCCCGAAAGGGACCATAATTTTGACAACTACCCATATATAGCCGACTTAATTACTACCCAGGTCTTCAACCCTGAATGCCCTAAGCCCTATACCCCCTGAACCCTATAAACCATCCCAAACCCTAAACCCTAAACCCCTGAAGCCCCAATGCAAGCCTTGAAGCCTATAAAGCCTTAATGTCGGGGCCTTAATTGTAAAAATACGGTTATGGGCTCCTTAGTACCATAATTATCATAAGGAACCCGAAGGAATAACCGTAAACCCTAATCCCTAAACCCTAAACCGTGGCTTGTATATGGGTAGTTCTCTAAATTAGGGTTCCTTTGAGGGTCCTTTTTATAAGGGTGCCGTACTATATTGGGGACCTAAAAAGGGACTTTAATGTAGAAAACTACATATGAATCCTGCAAGCCCCCGAAGCCTGAAGCCTGGAACCTAAAGCTCCAAACCCCCACCCCATAAGCCTTAAATCCCAGCAACCCTAGCAACCCTAAACCCTAAGCTCTATAGGAGAAGGACGAGTGACGAGTCCATCCGTTTGAAGGTCGTGCTTACTTCTGACAAGGATGGAACGCTTGGAAAAGCAGCTGTGGCCCACACCGACAGCGCAGAGTATGTGATAGACGTTTCCTGGAGGGTGCTCAGGGAGTGTGTGGATTGGAAAGTCACGATAGGCCTTTGCAGTTCAGGTCCTAAACCCTAATCCCTGACCACAAGTTCCAGTCAGCATGAAAAAGCGGGAAAAGGAGGCCACAGAGTTTTTTAAAGGTTGGTTTAGGGTTTAGGGTAACCCTGAACTAGCCCTACACCTTGCAATTTCAATTTTTGGTTTAGGGCTTGGGGTCCGGTTTACAGTTGCTCAGGGTTGTACGCACAGACCGAACTTCGAGTTAAACTAGAACGTTAAAGCCCAAAGCTCTAATCTAAGCCCCACAAAGAACACGTACTAATTCATAGACTCCCTAAGCCATATAAGCCCGAAAAAGCTGAACAGCACTGTAGAGTCCCTTAGTTCTAAAAAAGCTGGCCCTAAACCGAACACCCCAAAGTTGAGGGTGGCGGTTCAGGGCTTGGAGACTCGAAACCCTTACCCAGAGGGTCCTATATACCTACATCGTAGAAGGCAGGGTTTCTAATTTAGGAAGTACTACCACGGTTCCGGTTGAGGGTTTAGGGTTTAGGGGTTCAGGAGTTTAGGGTTTTTTAATGTGGAAGTACTACCAAGGCTCGGGTATAGCCCCATGTCAGTACTTGGGTTTTTTGGGGCGAGCAGCCTAAACCCTAAACCCTAAACCCTAAACCCTAAACCCTAAACCCTAAACAGCAGAAACGACAAGGTTGGTGAGCAGAGTCAGACACATGCGAAGCTCGCAGAGTTCGCGGATGCGGTGCTGAGGAGAGAGGAGGAGGCGAAAGCAAGGGGATTTAGGGCCGTTTAGGGTTTAGGGTTTAGGGTTTAGGGTTTAGGGTTTAGGGCTGGGGGTTTAGGCGTTTAGGTGCTTTTCGATTTCGCTTCTGAGAGCTTAGACCTCAAGGTTTTGGGCAAAGCTTCAGGCGTTTAAGCTCGTTAGGTCATAGTTTCTGAACGCATTTTTTTGTGAAGGGGGGAGGGGGGGGGGGGTTGTATAACTTGTTGAGGCAATACATTTTGTGCCTTGAGAATTGTAGGTGGCTCCATGGGTGGACGTGTCTAGGGTTTAGTAGGGTTTAGGGTTTAAGCTTTACAGGGTTCAGGGCTTAATGTTTGGACTTGCATGGTGAGGGCTCCCGCACGCCCTCTAAGGCAATATAGGGGCCTCAACAACTAGAGCAGTGCTTTTTTTCTTCGGAGAGGAGTTTTATTGCTGTATAATCATTCCGGACGTTAGATTTTTAGATCAATTTCCTAGTTTTTCTTGTGTATGAATCCGACAGAAACCTGGAAACAGTAACGCTTTGAATTTAGAATCTTTAGAGTCCTTGTAGAACAGCTTGTGACACTTGTGAGAAAGCTCTGGCGTCGACCCATGTCAGATTTGTCGACTGCCTATAGGGCCTATGGCATATGGACTCTCTACAAGGTAGGCACCTACCTTGCGCTGTCCCGCAGCCGCGTGTGTTCGACTGTTCGACCCCCACACGGACGACGCCATCTGCAACACACTCAGCCTCGCTGGAGGTGCTGACCAGCTGGCATTGAATAACCTTCGGAACATCTACTGCCTTGTGGCATTGCGCGCCGGCACCCCGGACCGCCTGCGCGCCTACCAGGAGCTAGACCGCCGCCTGGAAAATGAGGCGTCGGACATCTGCCGTCGCATTCGTGAGCTTGTTGAAGCTGATGGACAGCGCATCACTGCAGCTGCAGCTGATCCGCCGCGTCGCCAAGCCCGTGCAGCAGACATTTCGAGCTAACATCGGTCGCCGCCTGGCAACCATGAGGGTCCCACCGGAAAGCGCGCGCATGTGAGCCACGCTAACAACGAAGGACATTTTGGGATGCGTTCTTTGGATTCCCCGGGCCTGACCTGGTTTGTAGCTACAGTGAACCAACCACAGCATAAAAGTCACAAAGCCTTGAAGAAAGTATACGTAAGCCCTAGATTACGAGGTCCTGTGAATGCATATATATATATATATATACATACATACAGTATAAGATACACCAAAGCGTTCTTCTAAGCCCCTAACCCGAACCCTCAGCCTAAAACCCTCAACCCCAAACCCTACGTCCACCGCCCTATAAATCTAAACCCCACACCTCAACCCCAAACCCAAAGCCCTAAACCCAACACCCAACCCTATATCCTCATGCCCAAACCCCAAACCCAAATGTCCCAAACCCTAAACCCAACCCTAACCCTCAAATCTTCATCCCTAAACCCTCAAGCCAGAAGTCTTAAGCGCTAAACCCCATATCCGCATCCCTAAACCCGAAATCCAAAAGTCGTAAACCCTAAACCCTAAAGTCCTAAACGCTATCCCCACCCTAGACTCTAGACCCCATCTCCTCGTCCCTAAACCCTAAACCCAACAGTCCTAAACCCTAAACCTTAAAGTCCTAAATGCTAATCCATCATCACTAAACCCTAAACCCAGAAGGGCTAAACCCTAAACCCTAAAGTCCTAGACGCTATCCCCACCCTAAGCCCCAAAGTCCTAAACCCTAAACCCTAAAGTCCTAAATGCTAATCCCCACTCTAGACCCTATATCCTCGTCCCTAAACCCTAAACCCAAAAGTATTAAAAGGTAAATATAATCTCTACAGTCCTAAACGCTAATCCCCACCCTAAACCCCATATCCTCCTCGCTAAACCCTAAACGCCAAGGTCCTCATGCTAAAGATAAACCCTAAAGTCCTGAACGCTAATCCCCACCCCAAACCCCATATCCTCATCCCTAAACCCTAAACCCGCTAAATGTAAACCCTAAAGTCCTGAACGTTAATGCCCACCCCAAACCCCATAGCCTCATCCTTTAAACCCTAAACCCAAAAGTCCTAAACCCTACACCCCTAAAGTATTAAACGCTAATCCCCACCATAAACCCCATAGCCTCATCCTTTAAACCCTAAACCCAAAAGTCCTTAACCCTAAAAATACACCCTAAAGTCCTATAAACGCTAACCCCCTCCCTAAACCCCATATCCTCATCCCAAAACCCTAAACCCAACAGTCCTAAACCCTAAACCCTAAAGTCCTAAACGCCGGTCCCCACCCTAGAGCCCATATCCTCATCCCTAAACCCTAAACCCCAAAGTCCTAAACCCTAAATATAAACCCTAAAGTCCTAAACGCTAATCCCCACCCTAAACCCCATATCCTCAACCCTAAGCCCTGAACCCAAAAGTCCTAAACCATAAATATAAACACTAAAAATTTTAGGGTCCTAAAACTTATATCCTCATCCCTAAACCCTAAACCCAAAAGTCCTAAACTCTAAGCTTTTTTTGAGGTTTCGGGCCTCTCACCGGCCGGGCCGCAGGTTGGTGGGTTGAGGGCCTTTCGGGGGGTTTAGGGTTTAGGATTCAAGGTTTGGGGTTTATGATTCAGGATTTAGGGTTTTGGGTTTTAGGGTTTTAGGGTTTAGGGTTCAGGGTTTTAGGGTTTCAGGGTTTAGGGTTTTAGGGTTTAGGGTTTTTCAGGTTTCGGAGTTTTAGGGTTCAGGGGTTTAGGGGTTCAGGGTTTGGGTTTTAGGGTTTTAGGGTTTAGGGTTTCGGGTTGTAGGGTTTAGGGTTTGGTAACGAATTCTTAAGAGCTAAGGGTCAGGGCTTTTTGAGAGCTTCTTTAGTTTATGGTTTCCGCGTGGGGTTAGGTTTTTGAGGTTCAGGGCTTAGGTTTAGGATTTGTAGGGTTCTTTTAAGGGTTTTGCAGGGGTCTAGGCTTTGGGTCCAGGGTACAGGGCTTGTTTCGGGTTCGAGTTTAGGGCTCAATGGGCCACTGTTAGCAGAGGCCTCATTGGGATTTTGGGGTTGCTAAGTTGCTAGTGTTCATGTTCAGGTTTTGCGTGTAACTATAGGGTCCACACATTTGTAGCAAGGTTTCAGCTGCACAACGCATGAAGCGCATTGCTTTCGGGACCTGAGCACTTGCTTCGTTAGGGCTTTGTAGTGTATAGGCCTTCAAAGGGATTAGGGCTTCTAAACCCCAAACCCTAAACCCTAAACCCTGATTCGGGCTTTAGTTACTTGAGTTTAGACTCTTCGGGTTCAGGGGAAGGATTTACGGCTTGAGGCTCCAGGGGTGTAGGGGGTGTCAAAATCATCTACGTAGGCATGCTGGCGATTGCTGTTGCAGCAGTCACACATATGTGATTTAGTATACGATATATTGGCGCCACCGGCGAACTCTTTCAGACAGAAATACGGCTACTCTTGTGGCCTGTGGGCCATTGCTTTCGCAGAGGCGGAGTGGACGCTCTCTTTGGGGGAAAGCAGACATGCACTCGACCTAGACCTCGAGACTAAAGTTGACAAGCTGAACAGGTGGATTGTCGCCCTTCTGCGGACCAGCGAGAGCACGAAGCTGGCCAATGCATCCTGCGGTCCTCTGAAACGCTGGGCCTGTCCCATCGAGGAGCGGATCCACCACATGAATGTCCTGTTGGATGCGCGCACAATGTTATCCCAGGCGTACCAATTGCTGGACGAGCTTGCCTGGGCTGCGCAGAATGGCATTGGCCAGTCTCCTCAGGGCCATGCTCCCTCCCACGCCCTGCGAGTAACAGGTAGGAAATGCAGAAGGTTGGCAATTCACATGCGTGTCTACAGGGCATCATCCGATTAAACAATAATTCGCAACCCAAAACCCTAAACCTTTCAACAATGGATAGAGGACAGACGAATAAGTAAGAAATGAAGTTTTAGAAGGAAGGTCCTGAACCAATGCCCTGTTTACCGAAGCACTTCGTACCAAAGTTGAACTCTATTCCTAACCCTCCACGTACCTACTATATAGGGCCCTAGGGGCTCTAGTACCCTATATAGTAGGTACCTGGGGGGTTAGGGTATGTGCCTGTAAGCTTCATGTAGAACTCTGGTTCATCAATTCCTCTTCCTCACGCGCCATGAAATGAGGATACCAAGTACTGCTATAGGTCACAATGCACCCTAAACCCCAGAGCCCTAAACCCATAAACCCTAAACCCGGGTTTGGGGGTTTAGGGGTTTAGGGGTTAGGGGTTTGGGGTTTAGGGTTTAGGATTAATCAGTACGTCGTGAAGTCCTATATAGGCCGAATAGGCCTGGCGTTCTTCAGGCCGGCTCATGGGACTTTAGCTTTTTTTCGAGTTTCTATATGGACTATATATGCACGCTAAAAGTTTAACATCTGGGAGGGTTTCAGAAGTCATCCAAGTAGGGATAAAGATGCCTAAAGGTTCATGGGACTTATTTCCTGGTTTAGGGCTATAACTTTAACAAGGTAGCTATACTTATACCTATACCTTGTAACTCCAATTAGGTTACTGCACAGCCTTTTTTTGCTAAGACACATGAGCCTTGAAGTAGGGCTTGAACCCCAAACCCTATAAAAACCCTAAACCCTAAACTAAACCCTAAACCCTAAACCCTAAACCGATTTACAGTGTGTTGGGGCCTCTTGATGATCCACCACCGAGCCGCCCAGCCCCCCTGGGAGGATCCAACAAGTAGATCCCTTTAGGGGTTTAGGGTTTAGGGTTTAGGGTTTGTAAAGTAGTATGGCATCCCAAATTTGGGGCTCTACTTTCTAGACCCTCCTGCTGGTCTAATGCTGTACTACACCCTAAACCATAAACCAGCAGGTTGAGCTGGTTGACTCACTGGTTGGCAGCGTCCTCGCCGCAACTTTGGCTGTAAGCCTGATGGCGATTTGCAGGGCCATACGGTTGATGATATAAATCCTGCATTACCCATAATATTAAAATACCATAGCTCCCATAGTTTAAGGTCCTTAAAGTAATAATGCAGTTTTTATCATCAACAGTAGTGTTTAAGGTTTCAGTAGTGTTTAAGGTTTCGGGCGTTCGATTTTTAATGTTTCTCGTCTCTTGTTCTGTTGATTAATTCAGCTACGTTATCTGTTGTAAAATCCTATAGATCCGAAACCCTAGAAGCCCCAAGCCCTGAACCCCTCCCAGTTCAGGGCGATGCCTAGCGGTTAAAGGCTACACTTTACTATACTATACTTGACTATACTACTATATACTATATTCGATGCTATACCCTAATATGTTCTATATGTTACAGTACTATACTGCGCTGCACTACACTATGCTATACTTTCAATGATCCTAGAGGTCAGTGCCAGGGAACCTCCGATTAGGGTTTCAGACCTGGTTCTCCATCGCCCAGCCTCTGATCTTAGGGTAAGGTTTAGGATCTAGGGGATTTAGGGTTTAGGGTTGGGGTTTAGGGTTTCGGGTTTAGGGGGTAGGGTTTAGGGTTTAGGGTTGGGGTTTAGGGTTTACGGTTTGGTGTTCAGGATTGTTATTGGTAGCGTTTTGAAAGTTGAACCTTTAAATTGTTTTCGGTAGCTATGGATGAGGTACCTGTCTCGCACGTGGGACTAAGAGTTTTAGGATGTATGGCTGCAGCGGCTTTCTGGTTTCAGGGTATCGGGTTCAAGGGTCTGTGGGTTTAGGTGTCTGAGGCCTGAGGTTAGGATCAGCTCGGTGTGTGGCGAGTCCGGAATTTAGGGTTTAGGGTTTAGGGTTTAGGGCCGCAGCTAGTGGAGCGAAGTCCAAGAGTGCCTGTGGGCCCTAATCATAGTAGAAGCCCAAGAGTTGAAAGCCCAACAGCCTCAATCCTTAAGGGTCTTGTACAGCGATTCCTAGCACGATTTGTCCTCAATCCGGTTTGCAACTTTTTGGGTTTACTATATAAGCTTACGTCAACTTGGATTTGGATTGACGTTGCAGGGCCTCGGGCCCTAAATCCTGTAAAAACTCCTAGACCGTACATCCGAAAAACGAAAAGAGAATCAAGATCTTAAGGGTTTAGGGTCTAGGGTTTAGGAAGACCCTTGCAGACCCTAGCCTTGCACATATTGTAGCCAAAGCCCGATAATATCCTCTAACCCCTATGTAAACCCCTTCTCCCTGTTAGAAACCCGTGCGGACCCTTAAGGTCACTCCTCAAGGGCATCCGAACCTTTCGAGCTAAAGGACCCTATAACCCTAAACCCTAAACCGCTGGCTTGCTTCTTGAAGTTTAGGGTTCAGGGTTTAGGGATCACAAGCGTTGGTGTTTTGCCGCTTCCAGCTGAGGCAATGCGGCTGGGCGAGGATTCAAGCCAAGAGGCCAGGATTGTTTTTTTGGAGGGGATGAGGTCCCCGAAACTAACGATGAATGGAAACATAAAATAGGGGCCGTAATCATTAGAATAGGGTTTTGGGGGTTCCTTATTATCGTTACATTATAGCAGCTGTTCAAATCATCGAGGCCCCTATATTTACTCCTACGTGCACCCGACAGTACGGAGTAAGCAGCTTCATTGTGAAACTCATCCTCATCCTGCTGAATCGGGGCCTCCAGCCCGAACTAAACAGCCCTTAAAAGGGCCGAAAGCGAGCATTCGACATTCAGCTTTCTAGACAACCTTAACCCATAGTGGCAAAATGGGTAGTTCTCTAAATTAGGGCCATTTCAGGGTCCTTTTTAGAAGTGTGACTCCTTCTTTGGGGTTTGCTTAACAAGGACTCTAACTCAGCGAACTAGCCAAAACAGAAGCGGTTTAGGCACCGCAAACCTTTCCCGGAGTACATCATTATGTTGGAGCAAAAATCCTAAGCAGAAGCCAACTTCAAGACCCAGCATCTTCAAAACAACTTCCCTCAACGTTTTAGGGTTTAGGGTTTTGGGTTTTGGGTTTTGGGTTTAGGGTTTAGGGTTTAGGGTTTAGGGTTCAGGGTTCAGGGTTTAGGGTCCGAGCCTTTCGTCAGGCCTTTCGACAAGCGCACGAGCGGCTTCCACGCATCTTCGAGCTCTTGGCAAGCTTCCGAGGCCTCGCAGGTGTGTACTGTGCTGACCCAGAGGCGCCATTTATACTACCATTATGGACGTGTAAGGGTTCTACAAGGGTACTGTTATTATAGGAGTTCTATATGGGCTTAGGGTTTAGGGTAAATGGGTCCAAATATACTGCGAATATGGAAGTAAGTCCCTCAAACCCTAATCCGGATGGTCTTTTGAACCTCACCTCGTAGCGGGAGTATACATGGAGCCTCTGGGTTAGGGTTGTTTTGGGTTCACAGCCAGTGTTGAATACGGACTTTATAAGGTGTGCTTGCGCGCGTTAATAGAAGGATTCATAAGATTTCTGTAAAAAACGGTGCCTTATAATGATTACCTGTATCATTCCTAGGGTTCCGTACTTTAGCCATATTCATAAGGCGCCCAAAACCTTTTTCTGATTATTAAGGCCCCTATAAATTAGGGTCCCTAAACCCTAAACCCTAAACCCTAAACCCTAAACCCTAAACCCCTAAACCCTAAAACCCTAAAA